GGGCTGGGCGGGTGACGGCTTCTGGAGTTTGCAGGAAGAACAGGCTGCGTCCGGGCCGGGTGGCAGAGGGTGCCCCGTGCGTTGGCTGAGGCGGCGGCTGGAAGGCCGACTGGCAAGAGGGGAGGGCTGGGCGTCCCCGGGTGGGGCCTGGGCTTAATCCGAGGTGGGCTTGGTGGCCGTTTGGGGAGTGTGGAGGGATTTGGGAGGGTGACAACGTTGAGACGAGAGCGTGAAGAGCCCATTCGTTCACCTCTGTCATCCCTTCTGTCCGGGTCTAAGGGTGAGCGGTGGGCAGTGGTGGCCATGGCAAAGATTGAGAGCTCCCTCGCTCTCACCGTTTGTTCCTGGGAAATTAAGGTGTGAAGTCAGGGAGTGCACCCCATTTGAGGCGGTGGGGGGCACTTGAGAAACTGCAATTGGAGGAATCGGTCGCAAAGGAGACGGCATTCTTTGAATTATCTGCTGTAGCTTTGCACGAGTATTAGAAGATATAAAAGGCGTGGGAATAAGCGTTATTTGTTCCAAGTGTTTGCTTAGGATGTGTCCGTTTTCGCTGTGGTGTTGCATGCCACCGTGTAGCTTCAACACAGGGTAACCGCGGAGACCAGTGGTGTGGGTGATTTTAATCTTTGGGATTAGTCTGCTTATTTGCCCGTATCAGACTTGTTCCCCTCGTTATGTTGGAGTGTACATTCCTTTTGTGCACCCTGGTGAGGCAAGGAAGGGAAGCAGACATGGGCAGTGTGCAAAGAACAACAGGCCTGGGATTTAAAAATGCCTAACAACACTCATTCATTTGTTTCTTTAGCATACTCGGAAGAGACAGCTGCAGATACATGTGATTGCCTGGTGGGTGATTGAAGAGTTGATGGCATTGTGTAGTTTTTAATATTTATTTATTTATTTATTTGGAAAATGTTTTTGTGTGCCCTTTCATAAGAGGATTTACTGGATGGAATTTGTATTTCTCTGGACAGAGTAGCAGACCCATTTTAGAATCCTAAGCAGACATAGTAAATAATTATAAAAGAAGTAACCACAAGTTGCTGGTGCAGACAGAAATACTGTATCTTATTTTCTCATTCTGCTAAAGGTTTAAATTTATGGGTCACAGTTACTTTGCTCTGTTTTTAACATATCTGTTAATGAAAAGCAAGGTTGATATACTATATTACAGAATCTACTTGGTGAGGACTGGCAAACAAATACATGTATATCTATATGTAAATAGATATATTAGGAGGTAGTTACTTGCATATCCAGCTATACTTATTTTTTATAAATGGCTCATCATAATTTAAACTTCTTCGGAGAGAAAATATTATAGGATGGGTCCTGCTGTGGAAGATGATCAGACTTTTGCGGTTCAGTTTCCTTATCTCTATAACAGGAAAACAACTGGTCTCTAGGGTTGGTTGGTGTGAGCCTAAAGGGAGCCAGTAGATGTGAAGTTACTTTAAACAATGTATTTCTCCTACTGCACACGCCTGTGGTTCTTTGTCTGCACATCTCTCATGGCCCTTACTTTTTTTATAGCTATTTATGTAGCTGTTTTATCTCCTCTTGAGGGCAGGATGAGTCCAGTTTTGATTTTATCTTTATATTTAGGGTATTTAAATTGTTTTTTTCCTGTGTCTAGTACTGACACTGCAAATATATTTGAGTGAATAAGATTCTAAGTAGAAAAATATGTTTACATTACAACTTATCAGAATGCACCTGCTATTTGGTGTGGCATCTATTTTTGTATAGCTGTTATTCTCTTCATCACCTCTAGAGGAACATCTATAATATTTATATTTTTAACTGGAAGTCATTAGTTTTCCTCGTATAATACAACTTAAGTGTTTGGTGTTCCCTTCTAAAAAATGTATGAAATTCTGAAAATTAATTTGTAGATTTTTACAATTAATTGCGTAAATATTTGTCCCAGGATGAGGCAAGTTTACATCATTCAAAACATTTTGTTAAAATTTATGAAATGATGACAAGTTTCTTGCCATTTCTCTCTGTTTTAAGGAGTCTTGGTGACACTGCTGAAACAAGGTGAGAATTTCAAACTTATTAGCTGCTCCCCAGGAGAAAGATGAGGCTGTTGCTTATGTAGCGTTTCATAAACCTATGGAGCCAGGTCTACCCTGCCCAATAGGGTTGCTATGATTCAGAACTGTGGTAATGGATAGATGGTGATGGTGGGGAAGGCAAAGGTCTTTTGATGTAGGTAAATGTCAGACTGTTGGTTATTCAGGTTGTTTTTTTTGTAGTCGGGTTTTTTTTGGGGTGGCTTGCATACGCATCTGTTTTGTATTTTGTAACGTGTATCAGTTTAACTTTAAATTTTTGTTGATCCTTGGAAATCATTGAAGCCTCACTGTCCTTTTACTTTTGTAGATTGGATTTTATTTGACTAAAATATAAAGCAAGTTGTAGAGGTTGTTCAGAATTTATTTTGTACTGACTTGTGTAGATTAGAAAGTCATATATTTTAATTCATTCACTTGTGTGGTGCTTTTCATGTTCAGAGTACATTTTTAAGTGCTTTAAAGATAGACGCCATTGTGGAGCATATTGATTTTTGTGCAAAAATAATTTACTGGTACTCTTTAGATTGCCTGATGTTTTGTCCTTTCTAGGTTTAAGTATGCAAAAATTAAGTTTAGATAGATGTCTAAGAAAACTTTTTTTGTTTCTTTTCTATGAGGACTCAGGGCTCTTGGAGAACTATGAAAAGCTTCTCTAATGTAGTAATAACTGCTTGTATGTGTAGAGCATCTGTTTTTATTTTGGCGTTCTGTGGTGGCGGTTTCCCGCTGGCATTTTTACTGTTCTACCATTCTTTCTGCCCTAGGAACTTGTGTGGTTAAAATATTACTTGGAGGATCTTCAGATACAACCCCTCCCCTACCCCCCCATTGCTTTTGAAAATCTAAGAAGACTGTACAGAGCTCTTTGCATATCCCTGTGGAGTTCTTCAGTTTTCTGTGCCTGTGTGTGCTGCTGTTCATTTTACTTAGTGATGATCTCAAAAAACAAATTAAATTTAGTAAAATAAAATGCTAATGACTTAGAGTTATACAATACAGCCAGAATATGCCTAAGAAGGTAGGAGGGAGAGACATCCTTTTATGTAGTTTGCACATGCTATCTAGAGGGACCGATCCTTGGAC